GGGAGCCAGCACCTGGCCCAAAGGCTGTCCAGCCTTGGGACTGCCAGCATGGGAGAGGGCAGCACTGTGGGATCCTGAGAACAGTCTGCAGCCAAGCCCTGGGGACTGCTGCAGCACCCAGTAGGGTATGGTGCATAGTGTCCCCAAGGGATGCCACCCCAGGGATAACTGAGGAGGAAGATACAGGCTGCTCAGTTCCCTTAGTGCTGGACCTTGGGCTTTAGGGCTGTCCTGAGCACTGTTCTGCGATGCCAGCAAGCCCTGGCCCTGCTACTTGTCCCTCGACTAGTGTCCTCTAGCACTGGACAGCCTTGCTTTGGGCTAGTGGGGCCTGCGGGTGCCTCCTCCGGGCCCACAGCAGCGGGAGGGGGGGGGGGGGGAGGAGGAGGGCATGACTCCTCACTTGAACTCGCAGTGGGCTGCTGTGATGACCCAGTTTTCGCTGAGCAGGGAGCCGCCGCAGAAGTGGGATCCTGAGCGGGGTCTAAGGAAGAAAGAGGGAGGAAGAGTCAGGGCTGGGTGGGCCAAGCCATGCAGCCCTGTGCCCAGAGCTGGGGATAGGCAGCGAATGTTGCAGGACCCCTTTTGGGCATCCACCTGCATCCCAACTCCACTGCCCGACTTGCCAGGCTGTGCCACCACAGCACTCAGGGCACCTGGTGCTGCACCTGCTCTGTGCCCACCCTCTCTGAGGAGTGGGATGGTGACATTCCTGCAGGGACACTTGCCAGGTCCAGGAGCCAGCCACTGTGTTCTGACCATTGATGATCCTCTCACTGTACTGCACCGAGGGGCTGATGGCAGGCACCCCACAGCCTATAGATGAGGTGGAGGGGGACACAAAGGTGGCCAGGCCCAGCTCCCACCTCTGCTCAGTGCCAGAGGCTTGGCCAGGCTGGTGTAGATGGTTCTCCAAGTTGCCATCCATGGGCTGCCCAAAGCTTGCTGTGCCCCAGGGACCTCCCAGCACCTCAGCATGTTGGGCATGGCGGGGACTGGAAGGATATGAGTGCTGCAGGCCATATTGATGCCGTGCCTGGCTGGTACAGTGAGGCCTCTCCATCTGTCCTACCACAGGCAGCACTTACCTGAGACAGTGCTGGTGAAGGCCAGGCAGGTGACTGCCCACAGAAATGACATCTTGGGAGAACATTGCTGTGTCCTGGGCCACCAGCTTTATAGCAGCCAGGATTTGTGTGCCCCCCCACCCCCCCACCCCCCAGCCAGGCTGCGCAAGGTCACT